TCAATCTGAGTTCACATTACACAAATCAGAGGTTAAATTTTCAGTATTATTAGGTAGGTGCATTTATAATGCCTTCATACCTATAGTAAAGCTTAAGACACACATATAAGAATCACCTAATTCTATACAGAAAACATGATCTGAATGTATTTTGTAATAAAAATATTGTTTTGTAATTGTACATTTATGGTGCACTTAATTGTGTCTACACCGGACCCCCTCTGGTGTGAAGACTTGGTGAGGTAGCGTTACCTCTTAGATAAACTACATACATGGGAAAGAAGATAGTATGAATATTGGACAAAAACTGTGGGGATCAAATGTATCTTTTGCTATGTCCTATAACAATGAATTTCTAATGTTAGTGCTAAAGTAATGCAATTTTTCATTTTTATTTTAATTTCTGCAATGAACAATCCACAAGATCTCATATTCTCCAGGTCGGATTCATATGTATCTCTTGTATTGAAGTGTCTTTCATATGTCTTATTTCCTAATAGTTTCACCTCGGTATTAGTAAATATAACTTTTTAACCTGAATTCAGTAATAATTTTTATCCTACACATTTTAATGACCTATTAGTATTTATTATTTTATAGTTTTGGAATCAAGTTATATTACTTAATAATTTATATGATAGAGCTCACTATAATTTATATGATAGAGCTCACTATATATATATATATAATTGTTTTGGGAATGGTGATAAATGAATATTTATGTAGCAAAACTAAATAGTGATTTGGTATTGTATTTATTAAATCCAGCTTAGACATGGGGCATTTCTTATAAATATGGCTATAGTGTACATGTTTTATTAGGATGCCTGAAGCTTTATGTGTTTGACAAAATAAATCTTTACTCAAAAACATGTTACAACCAGAATTATGCAATGCAGTCACAGCAGTGTCAAATGAAATGACAGGTTATGAAAAAAAACCAAAGATAGATCTAGATTATTTGAAAACATATGTTACTACCTTTTGTGCAACACAAAATTGAGGTGAATGTCTTTGCACCCGGACGAACGCATGTTCAAGTCTCTGGTCAGTGAATGTGTCTATTGCTAAGGTCTTGTTGTTCAGAAAATGAAAATGTCAATATCTGCATCAGACAGTTGTGAAAATCAAAGATGGTACCATGTGTACAGGGCCTTATCTGATTCATTAATGGTAAATGTTTTGCAATTAATACATCAAACTCTCAGAAGTTACTTAACAAATCAAAATTGTAATATTCCCTAATGAAAGTATCAAATTTCAGTGGATATATAGAATGTGGTCACATTGATAGTTTTTGTGTAGGTTGCCTTTGTTTTTTTCCCTAATATACATTTATTTATTTATATATGCAGGAGGTTTTGAATCTATAAGCTATAATCACTAGTACACTTCTAATTCTTTCTTTTACAGTGGGTCTGACTACACAATAAGCAAACACAGCATAGGTCAGTTGCAAAGAAATCCCAGTTCTTCTCAGTGTAATTTGCAAAAGGAGGAAAACATCTTGGACCTACTTCTTGGAAATAACTATCAAGCAATCACAAACATTCAGCCACTTTCCAGTTGCTCATGAAGGTTGTGCGTGGGCCCAACATGGTTAGTCTGGGTGCAAAGACGTTCACCTAAATTCTATATGGAACAAAAGGTAGTAATGTATGTTTTCAAATAATCTACATCTATCTCTGTTTCTTATTTTTCCACAACCTGTCATTTCATTTGACACTGCTGTGATTGCATTGCATAATTTTGGTTATAACACATTCCTGTTTTTGAGCAAAGATTTATTTTATAGGCTATGATCAAACACACATAACGAGTTCCTGTTTGAAATAATTCAGATTTGCCAATGACATTTCTTTTCTCAACTGCATAACTTCCCAAAACATCTGATCAACCTCCTTCTGTTTCACAAGACCTTGCTGAGTATAGCAAATGTGTGTGAAAAAGTCACAGACAGAAGTTTTCCTATAGCTGCAAAAAGGAGAAACATAATAGCAGTTGCTTGAGTCTCCTAGTTTAATTGTGTGTTTGCAGGACTTCTCTGGCCCCCGAGAGCACTTTTTTTTCAGGCCTCCCAATTCAACTGCAGAAGCTTAAACAAATCTCATATGATGTAATCCCACTGGTTCAATGCTCACAGTATTGTTTTCCACAGCCTGCAGAACAGCTGGATCCAGCTCTCTGTTTGACAGTGTTAAACGCAGACAGCTTCCTCATAAATTTTGTCTAAGAAAGGACACACTGTCCATCATGGGCTTATCCTTCCAAGATCTGAATTTATTATACAGAAATAAATCAGCCTCTTTGCAGTCTTGTTGTGTAGGAAGATCCAAAACACAGTGCATTAGCTTGGAGGAGCAAAGAATGAGGTTGAAAGACATGACCAATAGATGGAATTTGGTGAGGTAGTCTGCTCTTGAGTTTCTGATTTATAAGCACTAAGAGGGTCCGGAGAAGTAGGTGAAGCAAGGTTTGCTCCGTGGAATCCTTCCAAGAGGTCATTACCCCAGCAAAACCTCATCATAAAATAACCTCAAGAACCTGCCGTGGCTGCCTCCCATGGGTTCCACAGAGAGCCAGAAGACAGGAGACTGACAGTGTGCAGGAGCCACTGAGGCAGGGCCAGGTTGCCTTTGGCTTGGAGGAGAAAATAACAGTTACTAGAAACTGGAAGAATGATCTCCAGGGACTTTGCAATGGTCAGTGTTTTCAGACCATAAATAGAATTTGGGCATTTTCTTTCTTCTTTACCCTTGTCTCTTTCCTGCAGCAAACCCAGCCTGAAGCACATAAGCTTGATTCTCAAGCACTGACTATTTCTCAGCATTGTTGTTAAAAGTGTTTCCAAGATGTTGACCACTTTTATGTTGAAGCATTTCCCCAAATACTCTAACCACAATTTCCCTTCTATCACACAGAATTAGCAAGGTACGTCCATTGCCACCATCTTCCTCCTGAGTGTGCCCAGCCACCTTAATAAACCTCAGGAAGTCCTGGTGGATACAACTTAAAGCTCAGAAGTATATTGGGTATTCGGTTGTGCTTTCCTGGACCCTGTGTATATTATCAAGTGTCATTTTCCTATGTCTGTGGATGGCAAATGCAGGAGGAAAACATCATAAAGGGAAACAAAGACCTAGGTTACTGGTCTGTTGAGCATAATGATTCACTCACAACTCACAGTATGAATCATTGATATTATTGGATGATTCCTGTTTGTGCTCAAGATCAGGGCCTGTTGCTCTGTATGCCTCATTATACACAGACACCAGCAAAGGTCAAGCACATTTTATGACACCCTTTCTCCTAGGTCACTGTATTTTGTTATGTTTTAGGTACTTTTAAAATTAAAGACACAGAAGTCCTAAGCACACAACTCTGGAATTTCACAAATGAAACATCTGTGTGTGAAACATATAGATTGAGAAATAGAATTTTGTCTGCTTCTCAGAAGATCCCTTCTTTTTCAGTTGGGAAGGGGATCAAGAGATGGAGGGAGGGAGAAGGGAGAGTAGGATAGGGGACAAAAAATGAATTGGGCTGTGGTATGTATACATACAAATGCCATACATGTAATGTAAGCATTATGTACTGCAAACCTGCACAGAAAACCAAACCAAAACCACAACAAAAAAGCAAAGGGATCAAGAAATGAGTGGATGGAGGAAGGAGGGAAGCAAAAGAGATGAAAAAGGAAATTCAGATGTATTATGTACTTCTATCAACTTCCCAAGAGAAGTGTAAACATTATGTACTATGTACATATAATAATAAAATAAAAATTTAAAAAAGAAGACCCTTATGTCCTTCTAAGTCATTTTCCCCAACAATAGAATTCTTCTGGGTTATTTCTATGATTGGAATTGTTAGAAAATAAGTTTACATCTATTCTAACCTTTAAGTGACCAAATCATTTTTATATGTTTTATACTTTATATACATGAATCATATAGCACAAACCTTTATTTATATTTGATGTTTTCAGTCAATGTGATTTTTGTGAATGTATTGTTACATTCTTAGCATAGGATTTCATTGTGTGAATATGAAACAACTGAGTCATTCTTCTGTGGATGGGCTCTTCAGTGTGAAGTTTGTGTTACTATTTTCATATTTACATTCTGAAACTTGTATTGGTGCTATAAACAGAAATGTGCTTTGGAGCATGTGTGTTAAGTGTTGAATTGTTGTTGCACAGGTTCATTCTGAATCTCTTAAGTAGATAACACCATTTTTCCAAAATACTTTTTAAAAACAATTATACCATCCATTGTCAGGGTATGAGAATTTTGGTTTATTCATATCTTTTTCAAACCTTGCTGTTTCCTATCATTTCTATTTTTGATTTCTGCTTAGTATGTGATGATATCAGGTAGTAATTTCAAAAGGACATTGAACATTTTACACAATTTATTATTTATTGAATAATGTCATGATTCTGCTGGAATGTTTTGCCTCTTTTTATTCTATTGTGTGTTCTGCAATAGTCCCCTCCCCTCCCTACCTCTCCTCTCTACTCCACTCCTCTCCTCTCCTATCCTCTCCTCACATAACCTCTAATTTGCCATTTCAACCACAAAGTTAATGTTTTGTGCTGCTTATAAACATTGTCCCATTTAAGGCCACATATTTTTGTTATTACAAAAATTTCACTTATCTTTTATTATTTTATCAGAAATATATTCATAGCTGATTTATTACATGGTATACATAGTGAAAGAACATTTGTTTTCCATTCTGACTAGGAAATATTAGTTCTTCTGAAAATGCTTAATCATACTTTCTCTTTCCATTTACTCTCTCTTCTCATTGCTTCTGTATTGCACAGAGTGGACTTGAACTCCTGGACTCAAGCTATCCACTTATTTTGGCCTCTCCCAAACCTGACAGACTCCTAGTACACACTACTGCACATGGACACAAACATTTCAGTGAGCCATCCTGCAGAGAGGAATGGTGGTTGCTATGCTGTAAAGGAAAAGATAATAAATGACATAATGTCCTTCAGAGATTTGGCAATAGCAGTAATGTCCTTCTCACAGACTACAGTTGGAATCCTGGGGAATTTCTCTCTTCTTTACTACTATCTAGTCCTTGGCCAGAACAGATGCACACTGAAGTCCACACATCTGATTCTCAGGCACCTGATTATAGCCAACTCCATGATCATTCTATCTAAGTCACTTCCTCAGACAATGACAGCTTTTGGCCTGAAACATTTCCTGAATGACTTTGGCTGCAAAATTCTTTTGTATTTTCAGAGGGTGGGCAGAGGTGTGTCAATTGGTACCACCTGCCTCTTGAGTATCTTCCAGACCATCATGATCAGCCCCATGAACTCTTGTTGGATGGATCTTAAAGTAAAAGCCCCAAGGTACGTTGGCTTCTCCACTGCCTTCTGCTGGATCCTATATATGGTTGTAAATTTAATTTTTCCTATGTATGTGTATGGCAAATGGAACAGCCAAAACATGACAAAGAAAAGGGACTTGGGATACTGTTCTACTGTCGGTGGTGACAAAATAGTAGATTCACTATACACAGTGTTGTTTGTATTCCCTGAAGTTTTATTTTCTGTGCTCATAATCTGGGGCAGCAGCTCCATGGTTTTCATTCTGTATAGGCACAAACAGCGGGCTCAACATATTCACAGCAGTAATGTTTCTCTTAAATCCTCCCCTGAGTCCAGAGCCACTCATAGCATCCTTGTTCTGCTGTGCACCTTTGTGATGTTCTTTTTTCTCTCTTCCATATTAAATGTTTGTGTTGCTCTCTTTTATAATCCCAGTTGGTGGTTGGTGAACATCAGTGCCCTCCTTTCTGTGTCCTTTCCTACTGTCAGCCCCTTTGTTCTCATGAACCGAGCCTCCACTGTACCCAGGTTCTGCTTAGGGAATATAAAAATCCACTAACGTTATCATAATTATATAAATTGCATGTTTTTGCAAAAAGTAGAATTGCTTAGTCACTCATCAATACATGTACTTATGGGAGAGACACTTTTTCTTTCAAAGTAAACGCTAATGGGTACTGGTGTGCCTTTAGCTGATTAATTGCAGGGCCTAACATGCACAGCAGAGATGAATAAAGGACATTCTGTTGATAGTAATCTTAATTAACATTGGCAGAAGCATTGAATGGATTGGATTCCAGTTTTCAAAGTTAATTTAATCACAGTAGGTGATCAAGTGGCATATTATGGCTTGTGTCTAGATGTCCCCCACAGCCTCATGTAGTCATGGGTTGGGTTTGTCAGAAGTGATTGGATTTAGAGTGTATGATGATGGGATTAAGTGTGTGATGCTGGGATTTATGGTGTGTGATTACTAAATTACTGCACTGATTTGTTTGGCATAGTTTTGGTTGTGCATAATAGGAAGGCCTACCCTGGGTGTGAGTGCTACTCACCCTAGGGGAGTGTAGCCTGCATAGGATATAAGGGACAGAAAGAGGGCTGCTGCAGTTGCTTGCTGCTTTTGCTGCCTCCTGCCTTCTGCCTTCCATACCATGAACTGTTTTTTCTCCACGGTGATGTCCCTTTGCCATGACACCTTGCATTGGAGCCAGCTGATTATGGACTAAAACCTCTACAAACTATGAGCCAACATAAACCTTTCCTCCTCAAATTTAGGTGTTGTGTATTCTGTCTCAGCAGCAAGAAAAGTAATAAATTGATCAGTGGCCTGTACCCACCCTTATGATAAAATTTCCTCCAAAAGACCCACCTGTGCTTGTATGAAGCTTTGGGAGGATATCTAGACATAAATGATAAGCTTTATGGAATAGAGTCCCAGAGGATAGCTTTTATGTGATGAGAGTGAATATGAAATGGACAAATGTCCAGAGAAGAGTGATGGAGCTGATCCTTCAGGATTGGAATCTGCCGCACTGGACAGTGGAGGAGTGTAATACAGCCGTTCATCCTTCTCTATGAAGACACATTTTATGCACTCCAGTTAGCACCTGAAGCCATGGACAGTACTGAACCCTATGTTTACTGTGTTCTTTCTTACACATGCATACATATCTGTGATAAAGATTAATTTATAAGTAGGCAAGTGTCTTAGTCACTTTCCTGTCACTAGGACACCATACCTGACACAATATACAGGAGGTGAGGTTTATTAGGTTCTGGTTTCCACTGGGTTTACAGCTAAGTTCGACTCAAGTGCAGAAACCCATGATGGAAGGGTGTGAGGTAGGACAGGTGCTCATACCAAGGTGTGCAGAGCATGAAGGGAAGGACTGGGGACAAGAACACTTCCTTCCAGGTCATGCGCTCATTGACCTGCCACTAACCATGCCCTTTACTGCCTGCATTCTTATCAGCTGTAGTCTTTGAAGCTCCAACTAGGATCTATCACCATACCTGATTTACAATATTTTAGTTCTTCTCATGTCAGCTTTTCTGAACCTTTTCAAACCCCTCCCACAAACCAGTTCCAAAGTCTTCTAAGCTAAATGGTGAGCGATAATCACAGCAATGACCCCTCACCTGCTATGGAAATTCATCCAAGTCATTTTCCCATGACTGGGACTCAATACGACACCTACAACTCAAAGGAGTAGAGTTTTTGACTGGCCTCAAGGTATAAACACACACTAGAAGGCATGGTTGAAGCAAGCTGCTCATGCTGTGGAGCTAGGAGGCAGAGAAAAGTGAGGATATGTAGACAAGAAAGCTCCCCTCAAGGTCAGGCCTCCCGTGATCCCCTCTACCCAGGCAGCATCCCCTACCAGGAAGTCAGCGATGAACTTATCAATGCACTAATGCATCACATGATCTCATCACTTTCTAAGCCCATGAATCTTTGGGTGGACATTTAAGATCCAAACCATAACACCAAGTAAATTATTAACAACAGTGATTTGTAACAAAGTAGAACAAAGAGAACAATCTACAAAGTGAAAGTTCTGTGTGTGTCTGGAATTTTCCTTTTACCCCAAGGTTGACCACAGGTAACTGAAACCAGAGATAATGAAACTATGGTAAGGAGTCTAGGATCTACTGGGTACATTTTTCTGTCATGTAGTTTTGAGACTCTAGACACAGGCCAATAATTTCCTCTTCTAGAGCAGCCAATTCTACACGCTCAGCCACAAGTAAGCCTGGGACATTTTAACCTGTCCTAATTTCCTCCAACTCTCAGCAGTATTGAATGCCACCATTTTATAAATACAGTTACAATGAAACTTAGCACCTGACACCAGAGGGCACAGGAATGGTTCTGGAACACCTTGAAAGTCTCATCTTCAAGGAGTTCTTACAATTTAATCTGTCTGGTAACTTTCTGAAAAGCTCAATTTTTATAGTTCTTCTGTATTTGATATGCCCCAGAACTTGATCTGCTTGAACACTGAGTTACACAGCATTTGTCAATGACAATCAGTGGCAATTGTTTAATACTGAAGCATTTAGCGTAGTGACAGTATATGGCTCTGTTCCAGATAAGAGTGAAAGGGTGCATAGTGAAAGTGTAAATGTAGGCAAAAGATGGTGATACAGAGAATCTGGAGGCATGGGAACAGACTCACAGGAATGAGATCCATGGAACTGGGAAAACATAAGGCTCCATTTCAAAAAGGTTGCAGGATGGTAAGCAATACGGACTGCAGGGCTGGGAGAAGCTAAAGGGATGACAGAGGTTTAGCAGATTATTTTTGGTGGTACTGGGGATTGAACCTAGGGCCTTCACATCGAGTGGTACCCACAGCCCTTTTCATCTTTGTTTAGAGACAGGCTGTTGCTAAATTGCTGAGTTGCCAAGACTGGGCTTGAACTCATTATTCACAGTGGAGGGGGAGACATGACTCGACACCACTGGTCGCAGGTCCAGATCTCTCCAGCTCATGGGGCCACTCCAGTTGCTCCTAGAAGTGAGTGCTTTTGCTGGGCCAGGGCTTCTCACCAGAGCTAAAGATGAGGAGATCCTGTCCAAGAAGCAAGATCTTCATCCTGCTGCCCACCATCACCAATCTGGGTCTTCAAGCCCCGGAGGGCCTGTTTCCTCCATGAGGCCGGCCTGGCTTGGATATGTGGTCTTTCTGTGGGTCTTGTGCTTTGGTATGGCATTCACGTTCCAAGTGATGTAAGCAATGTGAAGTTCAGCTGTGAAGTGCGGTAAAGTCCAACTACTCTGTTGATGAACATTAGTGGAAAATTTTATGAACCTCTACTGAAATGCGAGATTAGCTCACATGAAATCAACAATGTAGAAGATAAAGCAATGCTTAGGAAGGCTACTTTTGATCCAGAAGTATTTTCAACATATTATTTCCTCTTATCCTATTTCACGTAGGTCATAGTCTGAAAAGGAGACATTTCTTTTGGAACCTTGGATCTACCCTAGCATATGCTTTTCATTGGACAATGATTTCCTGTTTTGTTATTGGGTCAATAATGTACGGATGATAGAAGTAACTGAGCAACTCATGGGACATTTTTACTTTACAGATTGGCTGCTATTTGGTGCCATTATATCAGCTAGAGACCCCGTGACTGTCCTTGCTGTATTCTACGAGCTTCAAGTTGGTGTTGAGCTCTATGTGCTTCTCTCTGATGAAAGTGTCTTTAACGATGCTGTTGCCATAGTGCTGTCTCCTCAGTAGTAGCATATCTACCAGCTGAGACAACAGTCACACTTCTGATATCACAGCCATGGTCAAGTCCATTGTGATCTTCCTTAGCATCTTCAGTGAATCTTTTGTGTTGGGTGCTGCTACTAGAGTAGTGACAGCTTTGGTGACAAAGTTCACCAAAGTTTGGGAGTTTCAGTTGCTGGATACTGCCTTATGTTTTCCTGATGTCCTGGAGCACCTTCTTTTTGGCTGCAGCATGGGACTTCACAGGGCTGGTGCAGTATTGTTTTGAGACATCACACAAGCACGTTATACATACAATAATTTATCCACAGAGTCTCAGGATAGAATGAAATAGTTGTTTGAGCTTCTCAGTTTTTTGGCAGAGAATTTCATCTTCTCTTCCGTAGGGTGTCCCGGCCCGCGGGTACAGTCAACTAGGACCCTAGAGGGGGGGTGGGGATTATAAAGGGACAAGAGACACGAAGAATGGAGACAAGACAGTGCTCTGATCAAGTCTCGTTTATTAGCGGGAAGTGCCGTGCTTATATACGGCACGGAGAAATGCGGAAGTTCTAAGGCGGGAATAACCAAATAACCCAACAAAGGTGGGAGTAACGAGGTAATGGTGGGAAGTCCTAGTTCTTGAGGCGGGAGTAGCTAGGCAACGGTAGGCAGTCCTGACTTAAAGGGAAAGGCGCGTAAGACGGCTACTAATATACAATGGAGGTCAGTCACAGTCTCCTACAGTAGGGCTCACTCTTTACCTTCTGGTACCACATCTTTAAACCAACATTTGTATTAAGAGCATTTATTGCTATTTGTGAGCCAGTATTTACCCCTTGGCTCTCTTGCTGAATTTGGGTAGAAGTAAGACTGGATCAAATTTTCAACATCTGATGTTTGCTGTTCTTCATGGTGCAATTGCATTTGCCTTGGACATTCAGGATACTACCACTTATGCACGACAAATGATGTTCAGGGCCACTTTTGGCTGCATGTTTACCATGTGGGTATTTGATGGGGGCTTGCTGTTGTGCTTGCATGTAAGGGTTGTTGGTGATTCAGACTAAGAGCATTTGGGTGTTCCTGAAAATGAAAGGAGCACTACTGTCTTGGTTACTTTTCTCTCGTTGCTGGGACAAAATATCTGACACCCAGAATTAAGGAAGAAAAGGTTTATTTATGTTTTAGCTTACAGTTTGTGGAGGTTTCAGTCCATACATACTCCAAGGCAGGGTGACACATGGCAGAGGACAACAGTTCATGGCGGTGGAATAAAGCAAAACCAACAAGCACCAAAGAGAGAAATGGCAGCAAGCAAGCCTCTTTC